GTGTGGAGTAAGAAAACCTGCCCAACGTTTCGCCCTGCCCAGGAATCAAACTCCTCTCGCTTGTGAGGCGAGTGCTCTAACCACTAAGCTAAAGGACTCCACTAAGCAACAGGACCAAACAACTTGTTGACCTGCATTTCAGATTTATATTGGATGGCACATTTTTAAGATGACTATATTAGTACCAATTATATATTTTTCAATTTTTAGCAATTTTAAAATCATTTCATAATTGGTCACAGAAAGGCTACATTTCCATAAGATTCAATATTTTAAGATAGAAATATTTATTGCATGCAATCGTAGTTGAAATTGTCTTCAAAAAGAATAAGTCATATAATTCAAGAAATATATAGATTTGAATATGCAAACTGCCAACTTTCACCAATAGCCTAGTGAGTAAAACACCTGTTCAATTGCTATCTAGAGACCCCAGTTGAAAGGTGCATATTTGTGGGTGTCAAGTGAGGACAGAATTGGGCATCTCAGCAATGATGCCTCATGCTGTAAAACAGCTTGCCAACATTCACCATCAAGACTCAACAGAAAGAATGGCCATTTTTACAAAGTACTGGAGGCCATCCAGCACCCTTGGAACTATGTACCCAGTCCAGTAGAAGGTAAAAGTAGAAAAGGAGGTGAGAGACATGCAAAGGTTCGCGCAAGTAAGGATGTGGAGGCCAATTTTAACATGAGCTGGAACTTGTGGAGCATGAAGCTGAAGAAGCCAACAAGGAAGGTATTTGAAAAGCCAAGTCTGGAGATGACCAAGGTATAAATGAGGGTTTTGGCAGCATTGGGCATCAAATAGAGATGGGTGATGTGGAGACAATGCAGAAAATCAATCTTGGTCAGGGACCATATGTAAGGGAGGAAAGACAGCTAAGGGCCAAATTGAACACTAAGATTCAATGAGTGGAGAGACAATGGCCAGGAAGTCAGAGCCTAAAACAAGGAGTCAAGAAGGATGGCTTCTGTCTTGTCTCTGTTTAGTTGAATAATGAGAATAGTGTGTAGAAGGCAGTAGAGAGCAGTATAACTACAGCAAGCAATCCAGTGATGGACATTATAGGTAGTTGTTGCACAATTCTCAGAGTAGCTTAGTTTATCTTATGGGCTGACAGTTTGGAGCTACCAACCTCAGGTATGACCTGTGCAGAGATTATTTACCAATATGCCAATTGTATTGGGTTCTATTGTCTCATTTGAATAATTTTGTGTAGCATGACACAAAGCCTGATTCATTTTTCTTACAACCAAAATGGAAAAAGCAAAAACAGAATACTGGATTAAACACACACAACTAAAACGGTGGAAATGTCTGATTTCAGTCACTGTGTTCAGTCATTGTGTGTGTTGATATGTTCAGTCATCAACCTGCTGAGCTTTGAGTACAAGATTTCTACTTGATTGCTAGCTCATAAACCTACTTGAACTCACATAAATAGATAAATGAAAGGGTCTAAGGTTAAGGGATATTGGATGAAGGAATTGATTACCCCTCCCCCCCCCCAACACACATTGCAACTGTGGAGATTTAATTTATATTTCCCCTGCCAACTAGTTATTTGTGTCATGAAAATACACAAATAGATTCCAGAATTTGTGGTTTCATCAAGAAACTGATAAGATGAGAAATCATCTCCACATAACTGTAATTCTTTGATAAGAGCATACAAGTTTAACAAAGGCAGTTGATTTCGATATTTTAAAATCAGAAATGAACATGAAAGAAAATACAGTAACGATAAGAGTTGGGTGGCATCACATTTGGTAGGAACATTGGCAAGAAGTGATGATGCATCATTCCTTCAAATCACAACTAATCTTCAATGAGGAGATGGATTGCTAGAAATTATTATGGTCATAATTTAAATCAAAGGTGCTCAAATGTCCAACTGCAAGTCAAGCAGCAGCAGTTTATGACTCATCTAAACCCTGACACAAGCAGAGCAATTTGTCCAAAGTAGGCAGGAACAAATTTATTGCCATCACTACTAAAGATTAATTTCTCCTCTGCAACGGGGCACATAAACTTACACATGAAAATAAAGGTACTTCTGTGCCTTGGTGACTATTTTCATCAACCAATGAATGTATTTATCCAATACATCAAATATATATAGGAAAGTAATGGAAAACAAATTTCTAAACCACAAAATTCTTAATATAGCAAGCTCTTGACCTTGGTCAGTTGAAGGAGACATCACATGGCATTTTTCTCCCACCACTGTTCACAATTAATCCTCTTGTAGTCCATCTCCAACTAACCTTAATTCTTAAAGGCCCTGTGTTTTAACCACATACACAAATGAATCATACATTGCAATTGTATGAAATGTATACGGTCTAGATTGTTTGTTTGAATTTGTATTTTAAGCTACTATACATAGCTCTCCAATGTTTCATTGGTGAAATGTTCGCCCAAGAATGTCAGCAAACCACTACTGATCAGAAAATACCACATTTGATCCGTAAATCTGATCGGATAAATAATCTCAATAGAAACAAGACAGTGGTACTGGTGCCAAGAATTTTTTTTTTTGATGGTGCGGGGAGGGGGCGTTGAAAGTCTGGTTACCTTAAACCAATTAATATCCTGTGATCTATGCTGCAAGTTGCAAGGGCAGGGTCAGGCTCACTTGTGATGTCAAGTGCTCACACATTAAGAATGGCCTCTTCAATGAGGTTCTGGAGCACTGCTGCCACCTGTGGAACTCTAAGGAGTAAACTGTTAAGGAGTAAAAACCAATATAAAAATGTACAAAATTCATTCAATTTGGATTTGAATTATTGTTTGTCGGGTATTTGATACAGTACAGATTTTAAAATTCCACAAAACAACTTAATACAATAGGGTTATAAAACACCTGAAGGCAGGAATTTATAATTGAATATAACCATAGAAGCTGATCATCAATCTGATTTTTCAATTTCAGCCATATAATTCATGTCTGATACAAATTTATAATCTGAATTCCTCGATTCAAATTAATTAATCCTACATTAACTGCTGAATTTAAAATAAATTTCTAGACATGGTTACCAGAAATAACCCTTGAAACTCATCCTTTCTGAAATAAATCTAATTCATGTATACAGTCAAATCTTACACCATTGATGGATTACTGCATCTTAATGCAAATACTTTATACAGTGATGTAAAAAACACATTAATTGTAGAATGGAATAACATTACAACATCATATCTAACAATTACTTTATATCTAACAGTACACTGAACACTCAAAATGCTCCATTTTAATTAAACTTGAAACTCAATATCATTTAAATATTGAAGCTCACTTGTTTAAATTCACTGATGTCCTGAGCACCGAAAAGAGAACTGCAGCTTCCCTTGGCAGTGACAGTTTTGGTCAAGATGCATACAGGCAAATAAAATCTTAAGTATCAGATATGCTACTCAACTAAGTTCAAAGCATTTTTTAAATATTAGTTTTGACGGAATGGCACACTATTACTGGAATGGCATTTTGACAGAATGGCATCTTAAACATTTGATGTACTGTTAGATATAAAGTAATGTTAGATTGATGTGTAATGTTATTCCATTACACAAATTCAAATAGTATGACAAAAAAAACTTTCAAATAGAGTGTAAGAAATGGTCTCTATCACACATATTTAACTACTGTTAAATAAAAGAGCGCATCAATTTGATACCAATCAAACACTAATAAATCTCTAATTTTTAACAAATACCTGTTTTTAACAAATCCCAAATCTGATTTCGCAGTTTACGGCAATTTCCAAATCAACATCTCAATTCATATTTATCTAATACCATAGCTTTCACATATCTTCTTGTAGAAGTACAATCAAGTTTCATAGATACTAGCCATTTCAGGTCAAATACTTAGCAAAAGCCGTGTGAGACCATCTTGAGGACCAAGCTCTGAATATAAGCTAATTTATGCAGACCAAGAAAATCTGCTAGGTTCGATATCCAACACATTTATTTACATTGGTGGTCTACCAATCTATCATGCTTCCCCCTAACTCCAGCAGTCAGCTCCATCTGCACAAAACCAACTACAATGTTTGTATCAATGGCTTATATCTTTCTAATACTCTAAAGGTATTTAAATATATATCTGCCCATTCAGCTAGAAGTTAAAGATGCTATGACATAATTCAAAGAGGGTGTTCTGACCAATGATACCCCAAATAAAACTAATCATTCATTACCTGGCTGTTTGTGAGACACTTGCTGTGCACAAATGGACTGCCACATTTACTTACAAATACACCGACTATAATTACTGTTTGGGCACTATATGAATTGAAAGCTTTATTCTTAAGTATAAAGCATACAGAACCAAAAATCACTTTAGCTGCATGGAGCAGTGTTGAGTTAGCAGTTAACTTTTGGTGGATCAATTATACAAGAATACAATTTACATTTAAGATTGGTAGTTCGTCTTAAGTTGGGGCTGGAGCCAAAAGGGGTGGGGAGGGGAAAGCTGACCAGAAGTGCAGTCAGAGGTAAGTTTTGAAACAATTTTAACAAGGCAAGTGAGGAAGGGGGGAAAGCAAGCAAAAGAGGGAGGTATCCACAGAAAACTAGGATACATATAACGCATAATCAAAAGGCTCTTCTGCAGAGTCACTGGGTTTCCTGCCAGTACTGACAACGTAATAAATATTCCACTTTGTCAATCACTGTTTGGAGCTTGCTCTTGCCTTTGCTTAAGAGAAATGGTTATTCTCGAATGACATTAACTACAAAGAAAATATATATTTTTTATAAAAAGATAAACAAACATGTAACAAATTGCAAGAGTAAGACTACTGAGGCTACTAAGTAGATATTGTGTGACGTCAATTTACATCACAACATATATTGGATTCCAGCAGATAATCACCACTCCATTTTAGAGACAAACAAGAGTGACTGTTCCAAACTAATTTCATCGCAAAACTATGCATAGATTTGGCATTAGAATCACAGCATAAAAATATGTATAATTCTACACTACCTTGATCTGAGAGGAAATCAAGCATAGTTTGAAGGAGAAAAGACAGGTGACGGACAGCCAGAGCAGGATTTCCCATACGTCTTGAAGCATAAACAAGTTCATGAAGCAAGCGCATTTGTACTGCTGGCCAGCCCTTATGAGTTCCTGCAAATCAAATACACAAATATTTCATTAAACATTGAAGGCAATATGAATAGTATTGGGAGAAAATGGGGAAGAGAACATAAGGAAATAAGGGACAACAAAATAAATATTTAAAAAATATATAATTACGTCACATATACTTCTGTAAACCTCCCAGCAAATCTAGGGTTTTAAAAATAAAATTATTATGCATGGCTACAACAACAACAACAACAACAAGATTCCATTTATAAAGCGCCTTTCACGTCAGGAGGACGTCCCAAGGCGCTGCACAGTTGGGTCATGACCCGAGCAGGGGGGAAATGGTCAGGGTGAGGGAAGGGAGGGAGCAAGGAGGGGGGAAATGGTCAGGGTGAGGGGAGGGAAGGGAGGGAGCGAGGAGGGGGAAGAGAGTCGAGAGGGGAGCTGAAGGCACGGTCAAAGAGAAAGGTTTTGAGACCGGCCTTGAAGGAGGAAAGGGAGGAGGCGGCGAAGGCACTGGGGGATGGAGTTCCAGAGCCTGGGGGCTGAGAGGCTGAAGGCCCGACCACCGATGGTAGGGCGGTTGGGGCGGGGGACGTGGAGCAGACCGGAGCCAGAGGAATGGAGGGTACGGGCAGGTAGGTAGGGGGATAGTAGGTCGGAGAGGTAGGAGGGAGCAAGGCCGTGAATGGCCTTGTAGGTGAGGATGAGGATCTTGAAATCAATCCTCTGGGGGATGGGGAGCCAGTGGAGGCGAGCGAGGGTGGGAGTGATGTGGTCCCGAAGCCTGGTGCGGGACAGTACACGAGCTGCAGAGTTCTGAATGACCTGCAGCTTGTGGAGGGAGGTGGCGGGAAGGCCGGCGAGGAGAGAGTTCCCATAGTCCAGCCTTGAGGTGACAAAGGCGTGGACCAGAGTTTCAGGCTACATTATTATTTTAAGCTAAATCCCAGTACTTACATTTTTAACATTTACCAGCATGCACAAAACTGCTAAAATGTGAAGAAAATCTAGTATTGTACAAGTATAAATTACTTTCATTTCAGAAGAACCAACTGTTAAAATAGTATATAAAATTATACTGCATTGAGTATATTGGAGAGAAACAAACATTTGTTGCACAAGAATATACCATTCTAACAAATCACAAATATCAATGCCAGTTACATTGCATAGAAATAATTTGGAAGTTCAGATAGGATTCAGGCCATTTTAGATTGCTGATACCAAACTCTGGAGAGGGGTAAAAGAGAGAAAACAAAAATATGCCCAGGTTGGGGAAATGAAAACTTGTCTGGGTTCCACTCAACTGTTATTTTGACCAAGGCTGTGAAGTATTTTGGCCACCATGTAAGAGCATGACTAGGATTAAGATGTAATCTTTAACTCCCCCATCCCCGTCACACACACCCATCCCACCAACCCAGGGGACAGATAGTACAGTTGTTACTCATTGTCAACACTCACACGAATTAGAAGACAAATAGTGCTCATGGAATTGTACCTCAGTTGGAGGAAAATAATCAAATGATTCAGTAGGGAGATTTTTTTTAACTTTTGAAACATGGCCAGCAATGTAACTATTGGGTTATACAAATTCAGTTCATTATAGGTTTTTAATTTTACGCTATACTATATATAGATAGCGGATCTCCAAAGTAAATCAGTAAAACTTGTTCTTTCTGTCAGAAGATGGAACTTTATTTTTTAATCCTAAACACTTCAAAAAATATATACAAAATATCCACGCGGACATATTTATGGTTACTTTCTTCAATTTAATGCATCTCACCAGCAATATAATTTGCGACCCTTAATTCCCACCCAATCTTCGAATACGCACATGAATCCAGACAGTTTTAATTTGAATGTCTGTTAAGAACTGCTGAAAATTTAAGAATTTTCCACAATTCTGCATGTTTTAAAAATTTAAAACAGCATGATCTTACAAGCAAATACTAGGTGGAATTCCACAACTATGTTCTAAACAAATGGCATTCTCATGTTTACACAGAATCCATTCTTTTGTTATTAACAGTCAATTCATAAGAAGCAAGTTGAGCTTTAAAGTTTAATTACCTTTACTGAAGTCTTCGGGATTCAGTGATAGACTATATCCATGTAGGGTTTCCAATAGCAGTTTATAGCAAGCCCTCCATCCAGGTTCAGCTATTGATGGTGCCACACACTGCATAGCAGCTACACGCTTGAAAAAAGATGCTTTACGGTGGAAACCTATCAGATCATATAGCTCAGAAAGGATGCTGTATCGCTGAATTTTCTCTTCTTCAGACAACTGCAATTTTTAAAAAAATCAATATTTTTATACTTCATCATCACATACAAAATAGTCAAGCATCAAAAATTCATTACTGAAATATCATGTTAGTATATTAAATGAGTAAGCTTTCTATATTTCACATCTAGTGTACATAATATGCAGCATTTATAGATGGATTGGAGGCTCCCTTTTCTTTCTCAATCTGTAGTTAGGTTGTGTTATCCTCTGTTCATGGATCAGTCACATCTAAGGATAAATACTTACGATTCTTACTCCTAAAAAAATACTGCCAATTAAGGAAAGGTGATGGGGTGGGGGAGAAGACTAAAATGTACCAATGTTTATCTGCAATGAATTGGACCAGATTATGCTTTATTACATTCATTACTAGATTCTTAAAGGTAGTTTACTCCTTTTATGCTTTTCAAGCAATTAATCTACAGTTCTTGTCAGTCTACAAAAAAAGTGTTCAAATTATGTGCCTTTGGAGAATTTCTCTTGCATTCGTAGAGTCTTGTAGCTCAGTGGTTAGAGCGCTCGCCTCGCAAGCGAGAGACCTGGGTTTGATTCCCGGCAGGTGAAACGGTGGGCAAGTTTCCTTATTCTACATGCCTATTTATCTAGCACTAAGTAGGAACCCACCCAATTGTTAGTCGATTGATGGATTGTTTTTCCGGGGGTAATAAATCCTTTTTAAAAAAATATATTGGTCACTTCAATCCACAACTGTTTGTGGGACACTGCTGTGAGCAATTGGCTGCCATGTTTAGCCCACAAAATATACAGTCAATTCACTTTACAGTATATTCTGTGAAGCGCTTTGAGACATCTCGAAGACGTGATAAGGCAAGTACGGTCCCACTGAGGTGGATGACAGAGGAAAGGTGGTGGAGGAGGATGACATGGTCGACTGTGTCGAACACCGCAGAGGGGTCCAGGAGGCAGAGGGAGCCCTGGTCACAGAAAGAGAGGATGTCGTCTGTGACTTTCACAAGCGCAGTCTCTGGGGACCCCCAGCACTGCATTGGAGAGAGTGATACTGTGCCTTGCTGACAACAGATTCAATCAACAATCTAAAGTAGGGTCACCAGGGCCTCAATGAATAGCAGACTAAAAAGAATTTTGCCCTGCTGCAATGTAAAATCAATTTAAACCAGTGAAGAGAAATGAATGCAACGTTAATTTTTATTTGTAAGATTCTATCATATTGTCTCAGCTGCCTACCGAATTGTCTTATAAGACAAACTCACAACAACAAAATTCCATTTATAGAGCACCTTTCACTTCGGGAAGACATCAAAAGGTGTTTGGACATTCAAGGGTCAGGACCCAAGCAAGGGGGAGGGGTGGGGTAGGGGTGAGGGAAGGCAGAGAAGTGGGAGGGCGACCGAAGGCACGATTCGAAGAGGAGGGTCTTGAGACTGGCCTTGAAGGAGGCAAGGGAGAAAGCGAGGCAAAGGAGCTGTGGGATGCAGTTCCAGAGTGTGGGGGCAGAGAGGCTGAAAGCTTGGCCGTCGACGGTAGAGCGGGTCAGGCGGGAGACATGGAGCAGGCCAGAGCCCAATGAACAGTGGGAGCGGGCAGGTTGGCCATGGATGGCCTTGAAAGTGAGGACGAGGATCTTGAATTTGATCCACTGAGGGATGGGGAACCAGTGGAGTCGGGTGAGGGTGGGAGTGATGGGGTCACGGAGCCTGGGGCGGAGAGTACAGGAGCTGTAGAATTTTGGACGATCTGCAGCTTGTGAAGGGAAGAGTTGGGAAGGCCGATGAGCAGGGAATTTCCATAATCGAGCCTTGATGTGATGAATGTGTGGGTGAGGGTTTCGGCAGCCTGAGGGGTGAGGCAGTGGCGGAGTCTGGCAATGTTGTGGAGCGGGTGGTAGGCAGTGCCGGTCATGGCATGGATGTGGGGTAGAAAGGACAGTTCAGGGTCAAACAAGACACCCAGGTTCCTGACTGGCTTAGTGAGGTTGAGTGTGCAGCCGTGGAGGCTGATGCTACCAGCACCAGAGGCAGTGTGAGAGGTAGGACCTGAACCAGTCAAGGACAGAATCTTGGGAGGAGAAGAGTAGGTGGAGGAGGATTGAATGGTCCACAGTGTCAAAAACGGCGGAGAGGCCGAGGAGGACGAGGAGGCAGAGGGAGCCCTGGTCACACGTGGTCAGGATGCCATTTGTGACCTTGACCAGAGCAGTTACCATGCTGTGGGCAGCACGGAAACCCAATTGGAGGGGCTCACAGAGTGAGTTGGAGGAGAGGAAAAAGCGAAGCTGGGAGGCAACGATTCTCTCAAGGACCTTGGACAGAAAAGGGAGGTTGGAGATGGGCCGGTAGCTGGATAGCTGTGATGGGTGAAGGGAAGGGTTCTTCAAGATGGGGGTGATAGTGGCTGTTTTGAGAGGGGAAGGAACATTGCAAGATGACAAGGAGAGGTTGATGATGTCGGCGAGTAGTGGGGCAAGGAGGTGGAGCTGGGATTTAAGGAGAGGGGTGGGGGGGGGATGGGGTCCATGGAGTAGGTGGTGGGCTTCATGAAGGATATGGTGGTAATGATAGAGGAGGGGGTGACAGATTCAGAAGTGTGGAAGGAGGGATGGGTAGTGGTCAGAGTGTGGCAAAATACCCAGTTATTATGCAAGATTCAAATCTTGATCCAGATAGAGCAACAATGAAGCACTTAGTTGAGGAATTCAAAACACCTGACTTTGGAGCTACCTAAAGCATGACAAATGAGTCACTAGAGTGTTCCAGAGATGGGCAGCACAGCTTAAATCAGTGGAGAAGCTATGCCAAAATAAATTATTCTGGACCAGAGTAGGGCTTTCAAGAATTAAAGATAAATTATTTTTCAGCCTCTGGACCTTAGAAAAGTTTACATTGCAAGGACATAACAGCAGCCGGAAGGGCAAGATAAACACAAGGATACTTCCAATGAAACAGGATAAACTATCCCATGCCCTGCCTGCCAATACTTAAGGCCAGCAATACATTAAACACGGGCACTGAAGGATGATCAGAGAATTTGTGGAAGCACACATGCAAGAAAAATGAACCAAATGCCTGCAGAAAAGGAAGAGAGAGAGAAAAAAATTGACAAAATAAAAATAAAATCAACTTGCAAGATAGAAAACAAAAGGATATCAAATGGGAATTATTGCTGAGGAGCAGGGTTTGAGTCTGGTTTTCTGGCTCCTGGTTTTCTGATACCACTTTTACATTGCTGGTTAATCTGGTTTTCCTAGCATCAAATCTATCAAAATCCTACTCTCAATGCCTCAAAATGCAGAAGATAAAATTCAATAACGCAGAGTGAAAAAACTGCACAAAAGGAGGCTCAGGGACATTCTGTGCCTGCAGAGATGTCATGGACTCATTTTGTAATAAGCAAAGACATTGAACACGCATGTTCAAATTGCCATTATGGGATTAAGGAGATTTCCGCCAAATAAGAGTGGCAGAATAATGGAAAAAAGGCAGGGGCAAAGTAGCCTGATTTTCAGGATATTTCCAAGCTACCAATACCTTTATAATCAGCAGAGGTGGCCCAAAAAAATGGTTCTCCAATGGGTGAGAGTATTGCTGTGATCACTGTCCAGCGCCTTGGGACGTCCTCCCGACATGAAAGGCGCTATACAAATATAATCTTGTTGTTGTTCTTGATCAGCACAATTTAGACAATGATATCAAGAGGTCTGCAATAACGCATAAAGTTATTTAACACACGTGGTTTCTGGAGGCCATACAATAGCAAAAATTCCACCTTACAGGTTAGCAATCAGGTCTCTGGACTCTAGGTAAAAGAGTGGGAAGACTCGAAATGAAATGTTCTCCAATTCGACTTTCAAGTTTGAACATTTATTTAGGACAAATAAAAAAGGGCTCTCCAATGAAACATAAGCTAAATATGGGCAAGACTAAATCCATCTTCCTTGCCTCTCGTCAACATCTACTCACCTCCAATGAGCTCCAATGTCTTCAGTCTCTCTCCCTCAAACTAACCTTTGTCACCTCCCACATTGATTTCTCAAACTCACTCCTCACTGGTGAAGATCTAGGTCATAAAACTCGGCTGCTCTCAAGCTTGCCCACACCAGACTCAGTAACCCCATTACCCCAGTCCTCACCAGGCTCCACTGGCTCAGTATTCAAATGGATCGATTTTAAGATTCTCACGCTCATATATAAATGTGCCACTGTACAGCCTCTGAGACACTAAACTGCATAAAGGATGTTATGTAAATGCAAGTTGCTGTCGTTGAACAATTAATTCCAACAGGTTTTGATAATTTTCTTTCTATTTTCTTGATGCATTCATGAGGGAGAAGGGAATTTAGGTTGTGGCAGAGGGGAATAGAAGTGGTGGAGGCTTGTGTGGAGTATAAGCAACACACATTAATTGGGCTGAATAACCTGTTTCTGTACTGTATCATTCTATGTAATTCTATATAAAATATGGCTTTCACTGCAAAATTCAATGAAGCAAACAAAAAGATAGCAAGATTTACAAACCCCCACTTGAGACCCGCTATGGAAAAATTTTCATCACCAAGATAGGAAAAAAATTAAACAAACCTCTAATTTTTTAATGTAATGTATTTTTTATGTGAAATTACTTCACAAATATTCTACTTCTGTGTAAGAGTATTTCAAGCCTAATAATGTAAACATTTGTTACATAACTGTTCATGTCATGATTATTTGTCTTTAGAGCAAGTGAATGCTGACACCTAATGGTCAAACATCTGTAATGCAACTCAATATACATTCTAGACACAACCTATTTGCAAAAACATTCTCCAGCCAAAAAAACTGTACCATGATAACCATTTTTGAAATGTTTCTTGAAGAACGCAAATAACTTGGATTCTGCTGTTGAATACACATCAGAAATCTAGATAATAAGCTTGGCTTTCCTCACCTCTGCAACATTGCAGCCTCTGCCACTACTTCCCCCCACCCAGTTACTGAAGCCCATGTCCATACTTTCATCATGCCTAGGCTTAATTATTCCAATGCCCTAACTTGCCAGATTCCTCGAGCAACTACCTATATAAGATGCATACTATCCACAACCCAGCAGTCGTGTTTATTATCCCCATCCTCGCTCGGCTCCACACATTCTCCAGTCCCCTGCAGAACAAATTAAAAATCCTCATCCACACCTTTTATAAGATTGGTTTACATATGGTTTCATAACTCAAAATTTATGTCCTTTTGTTCAACTGCCTTAATGCAACCAAGAGTATTATTCTGAGTTTACTTTTTCAATCCCATTCGTGTTGTTATACACCTCTATAGGGTTCTCTCTGAGTCAGCTTCTCCCAAGACCGGAGAGCCATTCGTTATACCTGTGAAAACTGGGGATCATCCTCATTCCTCTCCTCTGCACTGGATTTGGGCAGCCCCCTTAAATTACAATGACTAGTACAAAGTATTCTGCATAGCAGACGAGAAACACAATGTACCTTGAGCATAATATGGGGATCTGAACTCAACGGATTTGGTGATACATCCAGCTTCCAGTTTACCTTGTTTATTGCTGCTCAGTGATTTGACTTGGTGGGTGATGATGAGTCAACTAACATTGCTAAATCTCTTTCAGCTTCCCCCATGGAATACATGCATTTTTATTTGTACTTTCTTGCATCGATCTGCATTAAACTTCATTTTCCAGTTATTAGCCCAGCCTCCAGCCACAATCTCTTGCCCAAACCTTCCACTTGGCTACCTCAAGCATTACTTTCCCAATCCTCGGCAGATGAACCTTCAGCCAATCTACTTCTATCCACTGGAACTCCCTACCAAAATTTCTGTGCCTCACCTCCCCTCTTTCACTCTTTAAAAGTCTCTTGAGACCTTATCCTAAATGAAAACTGCTGTAGAAAATGCAAGTTATTATTATTTATGCATAATCAAGTTTCTTTTTTGGTCCAACACATGCTGAAACCTATCAAGAATATCCAAATCAGACTGAAAGTTCCACATATATGTGTTTCCTACACATATAAATTTCTCTGTGTGTCTTGAACGGAATGTACTCTCACTCCCAAGAGGGATGCACCCTGCTTACCTGAGGAAGGTTAGGTGCAGGTTGAAGAGTCTAGGCTTGAACAAGAGTGTGTGTTGGGGTATTGCTGGAGTACAGCCGTTTGAAACCACAGAGCTTGCTATTGAAAGCACTGTCAAGAAAACTTCTCACTGCTCATTTAGCTAAGACTATCCTACCTGTTTGACCTTTGATTTATAGGATTAACACAAGGCAAATGAAAAGTAACCCTGCAACCAGTCTGCCCCTCCAAGACCTGCCAATAAACCAGATTGGCTAGGCTGTCATCAGCAGGTCTCTGGACTATTGCAGACCTAGGAACCAGAACTTATAGCATGTAGATAATACAAACTTGGACCTTAAAACACAAAATATTGTAGAAAGAGACCAACTCCCAAGCCTATCCTATATGAGGACTAGATCAAGTCAATTACATATCAAATTAAACCTTTTTTGGTATAATGATATGTTTGGACCAACAAAACAACTAATTTTCCATTTGTATAAAGAACTTGGAAAAATGTGTTGTGAATGTATTCAAGGAAAAAATAGTATGATTAAAATAGAGATAGATAATGGGGTGTGGACATTAATTAAATCAAATTCATGGTAAATTCACAGCCTGACAAAATGCCTTTTTTAATAAAATTAAATGGAACAAATTCATAAACATGTTAATGTCACAATCTCATTTGTGTGTAACTAACTATCTGTTATCTTTCTAAATTATTGTAAGCAGTTCTGCTCTCCTCTTAATCAAATGCATTTATTGAACCTTTGATGTTTGGAATGTTAATTATGTTGATTCATTCATCTGCTTATATCCTGTTTGAAATTTCCTGTCTCTGAGAAATAATTTATTATTTAAACATTATGTATTATAATCTTTTATGCTTTTTTCATCAAAATGCTCATCTGTGTCGGCAAATTAAAGATATGCTTTGAACCACCAATATTTGCATTGCTAAAAAAAGTCTACAAAAAGTATTCAATTTCCAAAAAAGAAGTCTCATATAGACAGTGGTCAAATTCTCAATGGGAGTTAATACAGCCATGAGAACTTTGCTCATCATGCATAACAAGCAAACAGAAATAATGTGCAAGTCAGTCTAGACGCATCTGAGAGGCAAGATCGCAACAGTAAAGCACTGTTTTTTTAGTTTTAAAAACAGAATACCAACCTTGCAAAGATCTGAATTCTATGCTAAAAAAGCTAAATTTTGCAAATATTTCTGTAAGAAAAAAAACTAAATAATAATATAATAATAATCCTTGCATTCGATATAGAGCCTTATCAAGTTTACTAGACAACAACATACACTTATATAACACCTGCCACACAAGGTAGCATCTCAGAGCACTTAACAGTGGCAGAGCCTAACTTCATCACGTCTCAAAACACTTCATAAAATATACTGTAAAGTGAATTGACTGTATATTTGTGGGAAAAATGCAGCAACCAATTGCGCACAGCAGCGTTCCACAAACAATCGTTGATTAAGTGAGCAAATTTTTTTTGAGGGATTATTAGCTATGTGTACAGTAGTGAAGGCAATAATTGCCTTTTGCCATCCAATTGCTAACCATCACATAATATTTGTTCTGTTTAGGAAGTTGAGGATGGGTGGGGGCCCACCTGCCTCTTAAGCAAAGTGATGTTGGGTTAATAGTAAAAACCTCTTGGCTCTATGGCACCTCATGATGATCTGGGAATGTAACAAACATGCAACACCTTATTTTAAATAAATAAATAAACAAACAAACAAATACAAGGAAGCCCTGTTATACTATAACTGGCTGGGTCCAATGACTCAGCAGTTGTATTTATTATAAGCAAAGTGCAAAAAATAGTCAACTTCTGGGATATCGGGATGCTTCTGATGTCACTGTATATTGCATGCATGTGCTATGTGCTAACACGACATCAGCAAAGCTTCCTGTGCGTATCGGGAAGTGATATTAACTTCAATCTGACAATTGCAAAGTTGGCCTTTTTTTNAAGTGCAATTCCTGGATGTACTGCACTTTTACACCACAAAGAGGCCTGTACTATGTGAGCCAGTTCTATAATCTGGTACCCCTTGAGCCTACATATGTAAATACATTTATTCACACAAGTAGATAAATGAACACATTTTTAATAATAAAATCCTTATTACGAGTTGTGCTCAACACAAATACACATTTTCTTCTAATTAATAACCATCGATATGTATCTGAAGTTGTTTTTAAATGAAGTTGAATAATGTTTTAGGTGATAGGTCAAAAAAAACTTGAAAAATAGCATTTTATCAGCCATCATGTGATTCTGTTTTTAAAAAACAAAATGAAATTCTGCACAATAAATTAACCTCATACCTGGCCAAGATTGATGTATACAGCATTTTGAAGGAACTCTGATGCTTCCATGCTTCGCTTCTGAATAGCTAGCACCCTGACTGCCTTCACACACGCTTCCAATTCGATCACACCAGCACTTTTGTACTAGAAAAATATGAAAAACACTGAAAAATTAATTTAATAAAGGAAATTACTAAGAAATACAAGTGTTGTACAGGTCATTCTCAAGTTCTCAATTTAAATTCATTTCAATTCCAGGCACTAACATTTGGTATTCAATTGAGTCTTTGTTAGATCTTAAAAATATTCAATTGCCATTAGACTAAAAAGGGAACAAGAGCAAATTCTTACAATGTGAAAATCTCAGGCTACAACAATAGAAAGATTAATAATAAAAATCCTTGCATCTGATATAACGCCTTATCACGTAGTTGAGTAATCTCAAAGTGCTTTACAGAATATACTGTAAAGTGAATTGACTGAATATTTTGTGGGCGAATTGCAGCAGCCAATTGCACCCAGCTGTGTCCCACAAACAGTCATGGATTGAGTGACCAAATAATTTTTTNATATATATTATTATTATTTATTTATTTATGAAGGGATTATTACCTCCAGAAAGCTACCCGCCAATCGACTAACAACCAAGTTTCTACCTACTGCTAGGTAAACAGAGGTGTGTGGAGTAAGGAAACTTGCTCAACATTTTGCCCTGCCCGGGAATCAAACCCAGGTCCTCTCTCTTGTGAGGCGATTGCTCTTAACCACTAAGCTATAGGACTCCAGAAGTCCTCTCGCTTGCGAGACAAGTGCTAGATAGATAAATTGATAGATCAGATAAATTAAGAAATTGATAGTGGAGTGACTGTGTGATTTGTTGATCTACTGTAAAGTAGAGTGACTATGTAGTTAGCTTGCCTGGTGAAAATCAGAAGCTAAAATGTATATTTATGCAGATAAATAGTTTGAAGCAGATAGTTATCACATAATAATATTTTTCCCCCACTGTAAGAAACCAATTTTCAGAACTCTTCATGACCATCTAAAATAGCCCTGAAGTAAATAGTAATTTACTTTTTAAATACTGATGTTTTTAAAAATCTGAAAACATCTTTCATTATCGCTACAGTATAAAAGTCTCTAATTCGACCCTCTTAAAACCTGGGCACCCAATGTATCATCCTGTGCACATTATGTTGATGTTGCAACATTTGGATTAAATTTACAAGGCAAGCTAATAAAACTAATTAAACTAATCATGTGCTTCTCGTACAAAACAATTTTGACAAGAAAGTAAAGATGAGGGAAAATATACCAATCTGTGTGCTAAAGATAATAAAAGGGAGCACAACTTGTCATCAACTAATTTTACCATGCATTCAAAACTAAAAACAATTTAACACAAATCCATACCACACAGCATTTAATTGGAACTCAATTATTAATATGCAGATACAATTTCTGCTCCAGTTTAGAAAGCTCCCTTTTACTCCCCCTCCCATTGATTTTGAATATTGCTGCCTGCACATAATAACCATTTTGTCTTTGACATTTAGCACCTGTGATCCACATATTGTCTGAATACGCTGTATAGGTTACCTCCAGAAAATAAATGAATCTTCTACATTAAAATACAGTCAAATATCACTAATAGGTTTATTGTAGGCCTCATCGTTTAATGTTGCCATATTTGATTGAACAGTAATTTGATTAAATTAATTGAACAGATTCAATTATTAGCACGTTAAATAAACTTACAAAAATTTATATGTAAAATAAATGTCACAGATATTCCATACTTTAAAATATCATTTCAGTTCTTACCTTCCCATAATAGGAGATGGCTTCCTTGTATCTTTCAATTATATCCTCAGGACTCAAACAGTTCTTTGCTCTTCCGATTTCAGTACTTGTGTCTGCACTGATGCCATTTGTTGTTAATGCACCTAGAAGGTAATCGGAAAAAGTGACAAATTGGCAATATTATGTAAGGAATATATTAATCTAGCTTTCAGAAATGGTTTTGAATTATTTTTACTAAGTCTGTAGCAACAGTGAGATTTGCTTACATATAGATTTAATTTTTAAAAAATGAAAATTTAAAGAAAATGCACTTTGCAGATAGAAATCCTGCTCCACTGTACAGAAAGCTCCCCCGCCCAGCACACCCCCCCCCCCCCCCCACACACTTATTTTCCCCACACACACACACACTTATTTTGAATGTGATGCAATGCTGACTGCATGTATTTTCAAGAGTCCCCCTTCTCCCCGCCAATACAGATAGCTTACAATCTTTCCTTTTTAAAAAAAGCTTGGTTTCAAGGTTGGGTGAACCCAACTTACCATTAACAACCTCTTCTCTTCTAATTTGTTTTTGATGAGATATTAAGACCAATCAAAAAAGGTCTCTCTAACATTTGAAAGCATATGCAGATTACAAGGTATTTTTAATAATATTTAAAAAGTTATCTATTCCAATCAACATATAAAAATCAGAGTTATGTGAAAATTAGGTAAATATTTGCAAAGAAAGTTGAGATTTGCAAGATAAAAAGTAGACATGACTTATTTTTCTTTGGGATCAACCAGATGGATGTTTTTTTTGGTCCTCCATATTCCTATATTCTGGATGCAACGCACCTGTGTAGTGATACTATCTTCAATTCACAAAAATGAATCAACAGGTTACCCTGCCCCTGAATTTATTTTAATATCTTTTTTTATTATGTAAACATTTGAATCTCTGAGTCAATAACACCCACACAGATATTGGACAAGATTTTTTTTTGGGGGAGGGGGGGGGTCAGCCGAGTGTCTGATATATGCAGAAACCATGGTCATGCTTAAGAGTATCTGAACCAAACTGAGAATTCTGTGCATCCCACCTACACATGGAAATTCCAGAGATAACTTGTTGGAATGGAATGCACACTGTCTTCCTGGAGGGACACATCCTGCTTCCTAATTCCAGAAAATATTAGGCACAGGTTGGCAAGAACCAAGGCCTGGGACACCAGAGTGTGCATTGGGATAATGCTGGAGTCTAACCAGCTAAAAATGCATAGCTTGCCATTGATAGGATGGCAATGGCAAGCTATGTCCAGCAAGGACATCAACAACCTCAACAACATGCAATATAGCGCCCTTCACGCCGGAGGTTGTCTCGGAGAGCTTGACCACCCTATCCGCTAGGGTTTGGGCAGTGTCCTGGAATACTGCGGATCTGCCTATCTCAGGAATCGGATCACCAAGACTCAAACACAACTTCCTGAGCATTGTACAGGAAGTGACATTACTGATGCTGCTTGCGTACAGCGTACAAGTGCAGCACCACAGGAAGTACCTTCAATAAAAACTCACAACCCAGAGGTTGACCATCTTGTAGTTCAAACTATGATTTAAAAAATATTAAAGCTACTCCAAAGTTTAATGATGGGAATTTGTTTCCTTATTCAATTCTCCTGGAGAAAATTAAAATAAAACAACTACCAACTTTTGTAATCAGAAACTGCTATGCCTATATATATTCTAAACTATAATAATAATCCTTGCATTTGATATAGCGCTTTTTCACGTCTTCGACATCTCAAAGCGCTTCACAGAATAGACTGTAAAGTGAATTGACTGTATATTTGTGGGCGAAACGCGGCAGTCAATTGCGCACTGCAGTGTCCCACAAACAGTCGCGGATTGAAAATGACCAATTTATTATTGTTTCAGCTTTTGGAGGGATTATTATTAGGCGTGTGGAGTAAGGAAACAAGGTTTCGCGCTGCCTGGAATTGAACCCAGGTGTCTCGCTTGCAAGGCAAGTGCTCTAACAACTGAGCTACAGGACTCCACAAACTAGATTTTGATGTTTAAGCAGATATCGGAATATCTTGGACAATGGTATCCTCTGCCCAATATAGTGATGAGTAAAATCATCTTCTGAGACACAAGTTTCTTCCAATGTACAATGGTATTAGTAACTCGCACTAATAGATTGTTTCACAATAAATGATGCGTTAACTTCATTTCTTGGTCAATCAGATAAGTGTAAAAACCTATCACTTAAAGATTTTCCAAACCAAGCAACTGAGTTTCACATATGTATGTTTTCCATTTGGTGGTATGAAATGTAAACTCTCACCCCAAAGGGACACACTCTGCTTATCTAATCCCGGAGAATTTAGGTGCAGATTTGCAAGAGCCAAGGTATCTGAAGCAATGTAGGAGAGAAAAAAGGTAGGCATAAAGCAATGTCTCATATTATGTAATGTAGGACACTTTACATAGATTTTGACCATTATGAAAATTCCCCTTTGCTAAATAGCTAAAATACCCTCAGAATGATGCAAGACCATTCAATGGTCCAACAATGTCAAACCTGGTGGTAAACAAAACCAGTCAAACCAACTTTGCAGATTCCTGCTATATTTGTTCTATACTTTCGATGTACATAGCCAGATATAATTCAAAATTTCTAGACAGCCCTTGAGGCAGAACTGTATCTGGATATTTCACCTCAGCAAATTGCAATGGATATTATAGGAGACTGGACTTCTGAAGAGATTCCTTGTCATTCTTGGAATATAAGGTTTGTCCAACCTTAAAACACATATTACTATGCCTGAATTCAGTATGAAGATACCTAGATTTCATCAAGTAGGTACGTTTCTTCTTTTTCCTCCTTCAGTCACCAATATTTTCATTACCCGTTAATCATTTTTCTCCCACCCCATTTCATAATCAATACGGTTACTTGTAAAACACAGGGCTTCCGGACAAATCAAAAAAACTTATCTTACTTTATTACTAGCACTATGTGAGGTACAGACAACTAACAATCGTACTCAAGATAGAAAGAACTCACATAAACAGTCCTCACTCAGCAAAAAAGTCAGTATTAACGAACAAACATTCCTCACTGGTATTTGTCATGACCTCAAACTTCAAAACAGTGTCTTCTTGTCTTTAAGCTGAAGGTACCTTGCAAGTTCAGAGGGACAATAGTCTAACGACTTTGTGCTTACTCAGAGTAAACTTAACACAACTTATTGAATCAGTGGATTCCTCCTCCCAATTTTTTTGTGTGTGTAATTCAAGTAGGTACGAAGGTAGCTTTGTGGGAGTGGGGGAGTAGTTGGAACATGTACGAGGTGCGGGAATGAAAGGACAGTCTCCAGCTACAAAGACTCAAACAAATATTTCCAACTCATCTATGTATGCCACCAAAATTCCTCACATTATTCAAATCTTTAGGAAGCATTGAAACGTTTAAAAAAATATATTAATCTTACTCTCTGCAACTTCTATTCATAGTGGAACATGAGAGTGGTTCTGAAATGGGACCAAAAATTTCCAATAACATAAACACTACAGGAATATTCAAGTTACATTCTGCATTTGCAGCAACATTTTTTTTGTATGAATTTTAAAAAAATGCAGTGCCTTGTTGAGAAATATTGTTAACGTTTACACATTGAAGTAAAAGAGAGAACACTTGAACATGCTAATCACACAATTTCTAAATTATCCAATTGTTATGTAGTAGGGTTCATTTACATCTCAAACATCAAGTAAACCACAATTAATCTTAATTAAATCTATGAACATGACTTTCTCAAAACTAACAATTGTAAATTCACTAATTATTTCCAGATTAGCATAATCGCATAATTATTGAAAGATATCCAAATCTGTTCTGCAACATACAGTGGAATCCCCTTAGGATACACTGCAATATAACCACTTATATTTTGGGCCCAGATATTTTTTTAATCAAAAAATTCAGAATGAGCATGTTGAGGGTCCAGAATCATAGAAATTTACGGCATAGATATAGGTCATCTGTCCCAACAAGTCTGCACTGCCTCTCAAAGCAAACTGTTTGTTTAATCCCACTGCCCTGCTTTATTCCCATCTCCCTTCACGCCTTTCTTGTATAACTGTCTACTTCACTCTTAAAACGGACTCTACTAGCTTACTTTGGCAGGGCATTCCACATCTCAGCAATACTCTTAAGTGGAAAAAAATGCCTCAGCTCTCCTTTTGCTCTTGTGACTACCTTAGCAGTTAGTCACCAACTCCCCTACTAGTGGAAAGTAAGCTAGTAGCTTCTCCCCATTTACCCAGTCAACTCTCTCATAATTTTGTACACCTCCATCAGGTCCTCTCTCATCCTTTTCTGCTCAATGAAAATATGCCCAACCTCTTCAATCCACATAAATCAGAAATGCTAGATGAAAAANGACCAAGGTCCATCTAGATCGCCTTCCACCTGCCTGGTGGTCGCATGCACATATGTCCCAAACTACCTATGTACAATATCCCACAATGTTATTTTCTAAAAGAAAACTATCTAATCTGTGAAAGTATAGTCTCACCAATGATTTATACAGTGGCAGGATTAACCTACTATTTCGTTCTTGCTATTGATCTTTCGATACGTCCCAACATCTGGTTCGTTTTACTCACTGACACAGAGTATTGTTGGGAGAGCTTCAATTTATTGTCAATCAGGACCGCCAGGTCATTTTCAGTTTCCATGCATATTATTTTCCTTCCATTCAAATAATAGTCTCTTCCAGGATTTTTTGTCCCCTTGTGAAGTACTTTACATTTCTCCACATTGAACTTCATCTGCCACCGATCTGCCCAATTCCCAAGTATGTGCAAATCCTCCTGTAACCTATCTTGTTCAGCTTTGCAATCTACCACCTTCATCAGTTTGGTGTCATCCTCAAACTTAGCCACTTTGCTTGCAACTTCTAGTTGCCGATCATTTATAAAAATATTAAACAAAAGAGGAAACAAAACAGACCCTTGTGAAACTCCACTGGTAACATTCTCCCGGTCCGATGACATTCCCTGTACCACCACCGTCTGGGTTCTTCCAGTCAACCAATTGTATATCCAATGTAATATACCTCCACTGATTCAAGCGCTTTTTTTTTTTTAC